TAGTAACAACACCAACAGTAATTGGATGCCAAGAGTACGGGTTTCTAGTCAGACTTGCCTGCCAGACTGCTGCATTTTGTTTGCAAACTAAGATTTTACATTTAAATTCAGTTCAAGAGCTTTATCCTTGTGGCTTTTAAAACTTCACATCACAGGGCCCCAAAACTTTGCAAGCCAATTTTCTAATTTCAAAACCACACATACACAGTTCTTTTGTATTTCCATAGCCAATTTCCTTTTTGATAAAATAGTCCCAATCTTCATTTAAGAATGCTTACAAGACAACTGCCTAATTTTGCACTCCTTTGTCCAATAGGCATTTATTTACAACTCGTGATGTTTTAAAATACGGCCCATGTTTTATTTAACAAAGGTCATGCTCATTTTGAGTTTCTAAACTGACAGCGCACACTCTGTGCCCTTCGTTACTGGAAATGAAAGCTGCACCAACCAGGCCCTTCACAAATGCCTCAACAAAAGAGCCAAACAAAACCGAAGTATGAGGGAAGGCTGACAAAGGCATATGGAGGGCTGAACAGATTCTAAGAGTATTTAACCACCATTAATTCTTTCCTCACCCTACTTTGCCTTTCTATAGTACCAAATAGCAAAGCAAATACTGTGACTTTTCTGGTCGTAGCCTTCTCAAAAGCTTTGTGGAAAGAATATCTTGTCTTTTGGCATTGTTCGTTTAAGAAGCAAGACTGTCAATGCATTTAAAATATAATTAAGGTCAAATCTAAAAAAGAATCAGAAAGTAGAGTCAATATTGTTAGCTGCTACTACTCAGAACTTACAGTCTCCTTCTAAGAACCCATGAAATGTCAACTACTGTAATGTGATTATTTTCACCTCTTCTTTTTTCCTACTCCTCTTAGGCACCAAATGGTCTCCCAGCTGTGAGCAGTTTTGTATCAGCATCCACCATGGCTCCTTATCCTACCCCAGCCCAAGTGTCGCCTTACATGACCTACAGTGCTGCTCCTTCTGGTTATGTTGCTGGACATGGGTGGCAACATGCCAGCGGTACCCCACTTTCCCCCCACAACTGTGACATTCCCGCATCGCTGGCGTTCAAGGGAATGCAGGCAGCCAGAGAAGGTAGTCACTCTGTCACAGCTTCTGCACTCTGATGGGAAGTTCCATCTGCAACAGCTTCACCGGGGTTCCCCCTGTCAGCACACCCTCCCCCTGTTCCCTGGTCTTGGATCCCGCCCCTCCTGCCCTTCAACCCTTCTGCCTGGAGAGCTGGCTTTACGGACTCACATCTTTTGTGCCGATGACACTTAAATATTTCTTGCCATCCTTCTCTCACAGAAAACCTGACATGACTTTAGGATTTTAAAACAAAAGCAATATTAAGGACTGAATGAGAGACATTTGTGTTGCCCACACACTGTTTTAATGTAGTGAAGAAACCTGCACCCCTCAAAGGGCTTAAGGAACTTTTAAAATTAGTCTTTGGTAAAACCACATGTGTATATTTATTCTAAATCAGCCTAAACTTTTGAAACGTGCAATTGTTGAGATTTTGCAAAATTAATAAAGGAAAATACATATAGAAAAAAAGTTATGTTATACCCTCTAATCAAATAAGGTGACCAATAAGCTTTAATTCATCATTAGGAAACCAATCAATAATCGATCTGTTTGAGTGATCTTTTGTTTATTTTTAAGAGATGACCTATTTTGTTGGAGAATATATGTATAACACAAGCAATATCTGAATTTAGCTCTTCCTGGTGTTTTGACTTGGTTCCAAATACGATAATGTTTATATTTTCTATTAGTTTGTAAATATGGATGTTGGATGGTACATTTGTGTTTTCATTCCACGGGATACTCCCCTCCGCCACCCCTCTTTATTTTTTCTTTCTTTTTGCAAAGATGACTTTCTGGCAATATCTTTGTCTCTGTTTGGTGGTGGGCTGCTCGGGCTCCTGGACCTGGACTTGCCCCAGATTCTGTGTGTGCAGTGAAGGCTTCAACATCTCATGAAGGACCCTTTCTTTCTACAGCAGAGAATCCAAAAAAACATAAAACAAGCCAGTCTCCCATTTTGTATTCTAATCAAACAACACACATGCCAAACATATAAAGACAAGAGGGTGGAACATATCTGAACAAGAAGGCGCTAAAGGAAGTCACTTAGAAACTTAAGTTTAATGTGAAACGCTTTGCAAAGACACTTAAAATGAACTTTATGTTAAGAAAACCACTGTGAAACTAAATTGTACTGTTATTGTTGGCTTACCTGTGTGTTCCGCAATCTCAGCCCAAAATTATGTTGTGATTTAAAGAATATGGAAAATTCTGCGCTAATGAATGTAAAAATGGCTTGCTGTGAAGTTTACATTGTTGTACAGAAGCATGTTTCACATGTAGGTAAACTGGTGGTGGTATTAGAAATACAAATGCTATTTAATTTTTAAAAATTCCCTTTATTCATTTCTGGAGTTACAGGACACAGTTTAACTGATAAATCTTTCTAGACCAATTTTAATGTTAATAATAGAGCTGTGGGGTATATGTGTGTGTGAGCGTGTGATTATGTGTTGTATTTTAAAACCATTTTCTTGGACAAAATTCTACAGTTTTTATCTCTTCTGTTTAGAAAGTTCTTCCTGCTTGGCAATATAGGCTTGAAAATACGTTTTTAAAACATTCGTACAATCCGTCTATTGGAAAATTAATATATTGGAGTTTTGGGGTATTAATTCTGTGCAATAACTGAAAAGGCACATCACTAGATATGGATGTTAAAGATGCATTCGTCGGTGATTTTGATTTCTTCCTATCTGTGCTGTGCACAGACTACATGGCAATCCAGTTCCGTCACATTGGTTTCATGGCTTCATTTAAAACTCAGATGGCTAGATTAGCTAGGTTTTCAAATCACTAGGATGTAAACAGTACGCAGATTTCTGACATACAAGTTATGTTCGAGGAATTGCTTTTTTCAAGCAGCAGATATCTTATAGAGAGCTTTGAACTGCGTTTATTTCCAAAGCAACTGAAATTCAGTGCTACAAACAGAGGATTATAACTTCGGGAGAAGAATAAGCAGAAGCAGCAGATGAACTCTCAGGGCCATAGTCTTCCTTTGATCTTGTAAAACTCCTGTTGACATCTGGAGTTCTCAGTCTGGTGAGAAAATAGACTATAAACTGAATGGAACAAAGATACTAGTCCAATATTTGGGTGGAAACTTTAAAACCATACTGTACAGGGACTCTCCTGCCGTCCAGAAAAACTGACATAAGGTACAGAATGATTCCTTATCAGATGTTTTGAGGTGGCTATTAGGAGTCTTTAAAAAAAATCAGTCGTTTTTATGGAAACACAACTAAATGTTATTTTCTTTATCGAAATTAAGAAATCTCTTGTTATTGTGCTATTTATAATTTTTTCTGGTTCTTGTATTTTTAAAAATTTAATATTAATGATACAGTTTTCTTTTTTTCCTTTTCTCCCCCCGACCCCCACCTCCCGCTAGGTCTTTTCTTAGCAATAATGAACTCATATGAAGTAAATTTAAAAAGACAACAGAAACCCCAGATACAATTTGCTATTCAAAGCAAATTATGGTTTAAAGCTACTTTTAAAAATAGAGAAGGAAAATGGGATGGGATATGGGGTTAGGTTTGTTTGATTTTTAAACATTATTATTATTGGTTAATGTTGACATATTTCCTCTGTTTCTTAGGGGGTAAAAGTGTTGTTTTTAAACTGGAAAATGCACTCTTCAGAGATCCTTTTCCATCCCATCCACATGGAGAGGTTAAAGGTTCAATTTCATGGCCTCTACGTGGGCAATGCTCTCTCTCACAGGATGCAAGAGTATTACCTGCAAGGATAAAATGCAGTTGTACAACAGACACATTCTTATTTCTCTTGCTTTTTCCTACTTTTAATGACCCTCTTATTGAATACTGGGTTGAACTATAAATCAAACACGTTGGAAAGGATGTACAACTGAAGGCTGTATATGTATATACAGTATGTCAAAAAGCCTTTATTTTTATACTTCAAATGCTCTAAATTAATAAAAAGTAATACTTACCATGTTATCTTTTATTTTTTATTCTAAAAATGCTTTAGTGACATAGCCTCACGGTAGAAATATCTCATATTAGTAGTTAAGAACAGGTGTCATCTAGAACGTGCAGGTATTTTTGTTGACTTTAGCTACTGAAGTAGCATCATTCTGGATGCAGATATAAAATCAAGTTTGGTTATATCAAGGCCAAGGAGATATTTTTTGGAGTGCATGTTAATACAGGAATCTTTGGAAATGCTAAGAATGTACTTCTATTTTGAAACATTTTCCCCTGCATAATACATATTTTAACACTGCAAATAGCAGACTTCACATCTGAAGCTGTCACTTGTAATTAATAACCTGGAAATATACTTTTACTCTAAACACTCTTTTTAAGAATGGCATAGGTAAGAGTTCTGAACAAAAGTATTTGCATGCAAATACAGACAGCACAAATGGGCCAACGGATTGGTTCCAATTTGTGATTTCACATGAATATATTTCAGCAATGAAACTTGTTTTCATAGGGAACTATGTGAAGGAATGTAGTTTAATATAACTTCATGTTTTCATCATAAAGGACTTCAAATATCATTTCAAATATGATCTGCTTTAAACAACAGTGCAAAATATAAAGTAGATTTAGAAAAATATAGCTGAGATGTGTATTATTACTAAAGAAAACCAAGAGATTTACATAAGTCAACTTTGTAAAAGGCCATTTTTGTGCACGTAAGTCAACATTGTGAAAGGCCATTTTTGTGCACTTTAAAAATATTTTCCTTGTGACTTTTAAATACTATTTACGGAAAAGTTTAATTCCTTCTAAAAACTTTAAATTTTGGCTTAATTTTTTTTTCTTTAAGCATTTCTTGACCTCTTGGGAAAAAATGATTATCGACACATTGGATTTTCATTGTGAAGCAATGTAAGAAGAACATAGGTCACAAAATTGATATTGCTTTTATAAATTTATTAGAAACTTATAAAGAAATACAGCTGATTTTTAGGCTATTTTTTTATATTCAGTTCACATACCTCATTGCTTCAAACTATGTTTCTTCTCACAGTTTTATGGATATGGCCAAAACTATAGTCTCGAATAGTCTAGAGATAATTTTTGAAGTATCAAAATAAATTTTGTTCTTCGAATGTTTTCCCCTTTATAATTGTATATAATTGTACAATTATAATTTATAATTGTATTGGCTTAGATGATTGATAGTCTTGCCTTCTCAAGGTACTGTATAGCAAATATCCATTATCTCAAGGAGAAAAAACACTTCAGAGACAATCACCAGTTCTCCTGAAGCCATGAATAGGTATATTCATAAACCAGCAGCATCACCGCACCACCTAGAAAAGGAAAGAGCTGGCTGTTACTGTAAAGCCTGTGTGGTAGTGTTGTCTTTCCCAGTGGGTGTCTGAATCCATGAAGTCTCATGTACCCTATTGGGCAGGGGCTCCTCAGAATCATTTCTTGAGCTCCAATACATAGATATGAAACTACTGTGGAAAATTCTCAGAGCAGAATCAAGACCATCTTGAGTCTCCAAATACATTTTCCCCTTTAGAGTTTCTGTAACTTTCATCATTTCTCATCAGATTCTTTTTCAGGCACTTTTAATTTTTAAAAGTAAATAAATATAGACCTTTAGTCATGTAAAGGCATGTGGCTTTCCCAAGAACAGAAACCTTTAGATTCTTCGTATGTAGGCAAAGGATTTATTTTTTTCTGTCCATAATTAGCATTGTGGTAGTTGCATTCAAGAAGAAAATCTCTGAGATGGTACTTGATGAATGAGTCTGGTTTTTCTCTTACAGTTTTCAAAATTGCATTGTGAAAAATAGCTTATGACTATTTAAAAAATCTGTATTGCAAAACTAAACTAGCTTTCAACCTTCTTTTGCTTTCATTCCTTTTATCTGCTTAGGACATATATGGATTGCACTTGAAAATTTGGTAGTGGGGATAGGGTGTCATAAGACCACCATTGTCTTAGAAGAGTTATATAACTGGCTGTAAAGAGGCTTGCTACGTAATATGTCAAATAGAATATGATACAGGAAAACAGGCACTGAGCCTGCTGAATACCTAGACATCAGGAGAGCATTTGTATGTGGATGATTTTGTGTTCTGTCCGATACAGTAAATAGCACATATCCTTCAAGATAATCTCTATCCTTTCATGCCCGTGTGAAAAATATCACAAAATCGAAATGTGGACAAATATCCTCAGCACAACTTAGAGAAGATTTGGCTACATGAACGAGAGATTGACTTGTGATGGAAAAAAATAGAACTTGATTTTGATTTTAGTTTTTTGTTATACACTTAAAAAAAATCTACAGGTCACACGATTGTGTGACCTTATACCAAAGATAATTATCTGCCTGTAATTTTCAGTTTTAACCCATGTAGATATTCTATGAGACTCCCTTCAGCTGCTGTGGCCCTCTTAGCACTCTGACAAACGTGAAGGGATGCACTACAGAGGGTCATTAATATGTATGTAATTAATGCATTTTCTTTTATTAACTGTTCACAATGTAAGACAAGGTCACATGGAATTGGGCTGGTTTTCAGCCTAGTGATATTTGGAGTTTAAACCACAGACTTCAAGATTCTCCTTTCATGGGAGGTACCTACCATTAGCCACATATAGCTGCTAAGGCTGTTATAAAAATAAGATGAGATATTTATCAGTGGGGAAAAAAAAATAAGATGAGAGGCTCCTCTAGGATGAAGAATGAAAATTCCAGGTCGACCTTTCTTTTCCTTTTTACTGTCTCTCTTTCTCTCTCTCTTCTTCTTTTTTTAAAAAATCTTATCTTTAACTCAAAAGCCTTACCTTTCTCTCTACCTTTCTTTCCTTTGTAGTTGCTAGGACTTGCACATTTGGAATGAGAGAGGAAGCCAGGTCTTTGAATGAGATGTCCAGTTATTCACAGTGTTGTTTAGCCTGGACAGTACATTCACAGCGACTCTTTCCATTGGATTTAACACCACAGTGACACAGAACGCGTCATGCAAAAACATTTAAAAAGCCAACCAAACATTTGCAAGCCTCTAACAAAACTTGGGGTCAGATTATTTAAAGAGTTTTGGATTAAGGTTCCAGTCAATTACCATTTTAGTTAAACTCTCCTGGGTCACCACCCTTTGCAGGCCCATCCCCTCCTGAGAAAGCTAGATTAGGGCCACAGTCTTACAATTTTCTCAAATACTAGCTCAACTAGTAGGTTTTTACTGTGTGGTGAAGGAAAAACACCACATACTTGCAGAGAGAGTTGCATTAAATCACCAATATTATTATTGGGTTCATTTTTATGCATGGGCCAATGACTAACAAAGCAGGTCTGAATCTCAAATATGAAGCAAAATCCAGGCTTAAATGCCTAAAAAAGTTGGGATAGATGGATTGGGAATTAAAGAGTGTTTTCTAAATACAAGGGTATGAACTGTTCACCAGCTTCAATTTATAGACTATATCTCAGGTTGGTAGGAATGCTGGTTCACTGGGTTGAGATCTAGAGGTAAATGTGCAAGTGTGTGAGTATGGTAGGGGAGGAGAACCCTGGTGTTAATAGGGGAAAGTTCTAGGAGAGGTTACCAGGATGTCTAAGTAGGTGAATGTGGCCTGGTAAAAAAAATATGTGTGGTCTAGTACATACTTCCATACTTATTCACCAGGTTGCAAATAGTCCAAGACTATTTGCCCAGGCAGTTGAATCTGCAGCAGTTATTTTCTTATCTATTTACATAGAGACAGCTGACTCTCCCTGTGGGAATGGCAGCCAGTTTATTTGTGGGCTTGCGTCTTGAGGTAAGGCCTAGAGCCAGGAGCCTCCACCACCATGCTGACAGAGGCCAGGAAGGTGAGCACCAGGCTGAGGCTTCACCACTCCCCAGAGGTGACTGTGAAGACAAGTGGCTCTTGCTGTTTGTGGAAGCAAGTTGTCCTCCCTATCTTTTTTTCAAAGTGACGTTGGGGCAGGAGCAAGAATGAACTAGGAGCACCAGGAAAAGTTTTATTGGGCAGGGCTCTCACACACTGAAAATCCTCCCCTTCAGCCAGAAGCCACCATGTAAATATGTGGCTGCTCACTCAGACTCTAACTGGCTGTGGATCCTTTCCTATTGACTTAAGCTGGGCTTTGGCTTCTATCAGCTTCCAGCGAGGTCATAAATATTACCTTATAAACAAAGGTAGAACATTTCTAATGGATGCCTCTGGTATCTTGAATACTCATAGGCAACTTCGTATACTCAATGTTTCTGTCTTTCACAGTGGGATAAACTTTTATTGTATTGCTGATAGACACAAGAAAAAAAAAAAGATAGTAGAACAATAAAGAGGAAGGATATAAGTAATAAAAACATTATTACCTGGTCCAAGCCTCATAACCTTGGGAAGCAGGCCCTTGTACAAAGCTAAAATCCTATAAGCAGAAGAAAAAGATAAACATTCTTATTCTGAAAATAAAATGGAGTTGTACCTCAGCTTTATTGAGATGCTGACCCAGTATTTATAAAAAAAAAAAATTTGAAATTATATATATCCCAAACGAGACAATATCTGGCTAAATATTCTCTGCAAGGGACAAGAGTAAAGAGCTCATCAATTCTTTATCACCCAAGCTATGCTGGTCTCATCCAATCAGAAATATGACTTTCATCAGCATGATAGTTTCTGCTTTCAAGACAGGTCTTACTTTCAAGACAGCTGTGTATATGGACAAAATGACTTTTGTAATTAAATTTAAAAGACCACAAACTCAGTCTTCATGTAAGGAAATATGATGCAGTTTAAATAAAAAGTAATTAAAAATTACTCGTTTATTTGAGAATAAGACCTGGGTGAGGAGAGTAAAGAGACAAAAATAAGACTTAGGGGAAAAAAAAAAAAGGCCAGCAGAAAAGACATGTACTTTAAATTTTGAAAAGAAAAGTACTTTCATAGAACTCTCATGATTAATTTTCCCAGGAGAATATAATTAGGTGACATTTTAATTAGATTTACAGTGAGAAGACAATGATTCTCCAGCCCACATGTTAACAGGGTACATTATAAGCAATAGCATATTATGCAAAATGACAAGCAAAAAGTTCATCTTAGCATTCTAAGATAAACATGCAGCATATTGTATGGTGGTGGCTCGCGTTTCTTGACGGTGTAAGAACATTTTGCCAACATCTCATAATTGTGTTATCTCGCAGTTTGCCATCTATTCTCTAGAGCTTCTCAGCCGACCCAATTTAGGAGGGCTTAATGACTTATCAAAATGGAAGTACACCCGTGATTTTAACAATACTTGAGTCTTTCTCGTTTATTAAAATAAGAATGTTACCCTTCTTCCTGATAGACTGTTGCCATTGTTTTAAAACAGGTTCTGTACTTGATCTCTCCAGGAACCGGCTGAGGCCCTTGAATCCTACTTTTGGCAACATCAAAAGGGATGTTAATGACTGAAGCTATTGTGCCCGAGAGAAGACCAATCCCAAATTTTCTCCAAAACTCCAAGGTTGGATCCTAAAAGAAAAGAAGAATAAAAATACCAGAGAGGGAAGCGGAAGCCCCCCAATCAGTTAAACACTATAAAGCAATATGTACTTAAGCAGAGCACTGCACTTGAGGCACCCTCCTGTTATTCCAGCGGAACGCATTAGGATTTCCTAGGCTGGAACTTGTTTTCTTGACAATCCCATTGGCTATGTTTTTACACATGGTCTAAATTGCTGAAGTACACATTTCCTCACACAGGATTTATAAACACAGTTCATAAAGAAAGACTGGTATGGCATATGGGGATGATTTGTATAATTGGGCTTCACAATGTACTTAGTATTACTGTATCAAAACAGGAGAAATCCAAGCACACTATTAGCTAATTGGCCAGAATATTTTACAAATGACAGCAACTTCCACCATGAAGCCTACTAAAATGCTCATTTGTGTGTGGACCCCCACACGTTAAATTAAATCAAGGCTACTCTCAGTCTGCTGCTATTCCCCTCCAGGTTTTTCGCATTTATTTTCACGTGTAGCTGATCCACTGTACTGAGAAGTGCTAGCTTCCTGTTATTAACAAACCAACTTGGGGAGCCCGCAAAACGGCCTGTGACATTCTGTGCATTATAAACAGTAGTAAGTCACTGGACTAATTGGCTGAAGAATTTACAACCCATTGTTCCTTAATCTTATTCTTCCTTCATGGCAAAGGAAGAAAAGGGGACAGAGGGAGAGAGGAAAGAAGGGAGAGAGAGAGAGAGAGAAAGAGAGAGAGAGGGGGGGGGGGGGGTAGAGAGGAAGAGAGAGGAAATATTACTTCTTTTCATTTAAATCTAGGTCTTTTGCATTGGTTGGATTTGATTTTCCACCCCTCCCTGCTCTGCTTTCTGACATCAAAGTATTTAATTAGGTCTTATGTGGGAGTCACTTTCCTTCAGCTTATTTTTGTGCCCAGTGAGCTCACATTATACTTTGTTATAATGAATTTGCTGGGAAGTTCTCATTATGTTTTCGGCCTCAGTTCTTGCCCTGCAGAGAGGTCATCTCACATACCATAAGTTGCTGGCAGCCTTCCCCTGCTCTCTCTTTTGGTCAATGTCTCAGAAAGACCTTCTCAGAGGAATGATTCGGGGTTGTGCCACAATACTATTTTATCCGGCAAAAAACTAAAGGGGGAAACACCCTGCTTAATTAAAAAAATAATAATAATAAAAATCAGATCTGAGCATTGTGTGCTTCTAGCTTCTATGGAAGAAAACTTCTGAAAGCTCTGAAATTTTCAACTGAATCAAGAGCCAGATACCGTCACAGAAACTCCTATGTGGCTAAATATAAAGTGAGAGGTTCGCTAATAATTCTTGGATCCAGGCCATACAGGTGCCGGGTAGGTTTAAAGGGATTTAAAAACCAACAGGGTGTTTCAACAGGAAAAACAATGCAGTGATTGCAGTGTGAGTGAGGTGTGTTTAAATAATTTCCCCTCCCCCCATTTTTTCTCTTTTACAAGGAGAGAAAAATGCCTTTATGTTGCCCTTCTCCATTATGGCACAGGAGCAGAACAGGAGCTCTGGAGGACAGCAGATTCAGAACCAGCTCTGGTTGTCTGACTTTGCACGAATCGCACAGAACCCAGTGTGTAGAGGGACCTTTTTAACATCTGCCTTACCTTTGTACTGTATGATTTTTCTGAGAAGTAAAAATAACAACGGCAGTAAAATAAAAAATAATATTAGCTATGAGTGTTATACAAGTCTGGCAGAAAACAGGTAGTATTATTACGAAGCTTGTTTTCTAAAGACTGAAGACACCCTGAAATAAAACTTTCTCATGCTGTCTCTGTGACACAGCCAAGCTCTCTATTTCAATTGAGGACAAGAGTGAAAAGAGTGTGCACATTGTCCTTCTGGGGAGTTCAGGGTATCTCGTCAAGCATGCAACCTCTCCTATCTCCTGATATGCTTGCTGAGGATTAGAGTTGAAGATGGAAGGTAAACTAAGACACTCACAGTGAAGGGCATTGTATTTGAGACACTGCTGGAAACCAAAACCTATAATCCTAGAGCCATCAGTGTTCACTGGCACAAGTATGTGTTGAACCTGTGTTTTGTATACATTTCCCAGCACAATAGTGAAGTCCCACAGTAGTTCCCAAGTCCAGCTGTGCCTCAGAATCACCTAGGAGCTTTACAAAAATGTAGATTTCTGGGCCCCACTTTGGGTTCCCAGATCAGAATCACCTGGAAAAGTGCCTGAAAGTTGTTTTAAAAGACCTTCAGGACTTCTGAAGCTGTTAGGCTGAGGACCCATGTCTGGGAATCAGTGATTTTGATATTCCATGCAGGCAAAACAGATGGTCAGTTGCTCCACTTCTCTGCATTCTAGGAAGGAGAAAAGCCTTCTTGGATGGCAAAGAGGTATCCCTCACCATCTGGCCTCTGGCCAGTCTCTTCATCTAAGCCTACGATCTGCTTCATGCAGCAGCCCAGCCTGGGAGAGCCCTCTTAGCTCGCCTCTGCTTTCTTTGCTACATGTTGTCAACCATCATCAAATGAATACAGCCTCTCAAATGCTTCTCCCTTTCATCCCTTCCTTGCTGCTCCCACTTCTCTGGCTTTATTTCACATTCCCATTAACTTCACGAAGTCTTGCTTTCTTCTTGCCCTCTATCGTCTATTTTTCGCAGTGGCACCAGGGTCCTCTTTTTATAAAAACAGATCTGCTTCTGGCATCTCTCTAGTCAAAGACCCTCAATCCTTCCCCACTGCATGGAGAGAAAAGCTGAAGCTCCTCATTTGGCCTTTGTTTCCCCCCCCTCCCCCAATATGCTTCCAACTTATCTTTCTAGCCTCAAGTTCTACACCTCTACCTCCAAAACCATATTGTGTGTGGTCACACTGATTAAATTATAATTATGCAAATTTATACCAAGCACTTTTCTAACTCCATGCTTTTCTTCTCCACCATATTCACCTACAGCAGTCCCACTCCTCCTCTACGGTCTAGTGTAAATCTCATGTTGCCAAGAAACTATTGTGGATCCTTATCGAAATTGACTTCTCCTCCTGTACTCCTGAAACACTGTCTGAACCTCAATCATTGCCCTTGCTATGGCTCACTTTGTGCTTGATTTTTATTTATTTATTTATTTATTTATTTATTTATTTATTTATTTATTTTGGGTTTATTTTTGCTGTATCTATTTTCTCGAGTTGGCACAACATAGGAGCATGTTTTTCTTCTTCGTGTCATCTCTTGCATAGTATACACAATAGGTGCTCAATAAGTGTCTGTTGATTGGCTTATCAATGTACTTATTTTGGTAGAAACGATGAGAATTAAACCTAACTTTTAATCATTATTTCTTAAGACTCGGTGTTTTCTAGCCTGGAAATGAACCCCTGTTAGAACTTCACATTTCCGTCTTTCTGTTAGGAGGCATTAACATAGGGACATGACAAGGCATTGGATATTTGCAAAGCAGAGTATTTCAGGACAAACGAATTGAGGCTGTCAGGTCACAGAGCCAGGCCTGGGCTTGCTAGACTCCATTACTCAGTGACTCACAAAGAGAACCATAATATGGCAGCCTGTGACCGGATTTTAGCAAAAGAATGCAATGGGCACAGAGTAAGTCTTGAAATATTAATCTTTGGGTTCTTCTTCCTTATACTTCCTGACATTCCCCTAGTAGGGAGAGGCATCCACTTGCCTCAAGAATGAGGGTTGTCATAGCAGGACTACAGAAAGAGAGAAAAAGGTAATATTTAGTGTTTTGGGTTTTCAAATTACACTCTTCTATGTATTACATCAGTTAATCTGCACAATCTTTGAAATAAGAACTATTACTATTCCTATTTTACAGATGAGTTAACCAAAAAATTAAGTATAAGAAGGGAATTTTTGTTACATTCTAGCAAACTCAAGACTTTGCCTTAGGGCACAGTTTTTCTACTGATACTTCTAAGGGTCAGTGGGTAGGCTGGTGGAGGGGATGTCTGAGAACTTCCTGAAATTATAAGCAATGCTTCTGCATATGTGCATATGGGATTTTCTGGAGAGAGTGTATATAGGTTTTATCAGGCTCATAAAAGCTTAAAAAGACGTCATAACACCATTTCCCCTACCAATAAATTTATAAAGTAAGAAAAGGGCAGTGCAGGGTTGAAAATATCGGAGCTGAAAACATGAAGCCCTATTCTTCACGAGGGTTATCAGGCAATTCACCTTAGTGAAAAGATTGCCACATACATG